AATAAAAGCAGTAAGTATACAAAAAAAAATTAGAATGTAATACAAGAGTTGCTATACAGTATTTGCGGTTATTGAACCATACGATACAATTTTCTTTTCATAAAAAAAAAGTATGACTAGAATTCATGTTATTTGTTATTATATAATTAATTTGCAAACGATAATGAATTTTCTTTATGGACATGTACATGATATATATATATATATATATGTATATGTAGATTATATACATTATATGTATATACATGTGGCATGGTATAGTTGTAATATTGAAATATTGATAATTTCTCATAAATTATAAGCTAAAATGAATTAAATTATATTAAAAAAATATCTTTTAAATGGCTGTGTACTATATAAATACTAAACGAATGTATATATTATATAACGTATGTATACAAAACTAAACAAATTTAAGTTAACGTAAAATTTTAATTAAAAAAATTTTATGTTTTTGAATTTTTTTTGTAATTTTATTTTCGAATCAATTAAAATTTCCATTAGCACTTGCACTTATATAAATAGCTATATATGAATTCAATATTAATAAAATTTTATGTAATTAATTAACTAGTAATTTTTTTAAACTAATTTTCTTTTAAATCTATTATGCACATGGCTTTTCAATTTTAGGCTTATAAGAGTTTATATATACATATGTATATGATTTACGTATTTCTAAACTAAGTTTATAAACGTTTATCTACCTGTACTCACAATTATTACTGAGTGTCAAATAAAATATATGGAATGTAAACATGTTAGGCATTCGAAATAATATTTCAAAAATTACATATTTATTAATGTCTTTATTTATAATTTATTTAGTAAAATTGGGCCAAAGCAATGGTATATATTGTAGCACTTTTTCCTTCAAGTGAAAATTCTGCTTTCAAAAACAATCTATGTACTACATTATTATAATTTTTTTCATTTATATACGAAAATATTTCAAAGATTGCATACATTTAGGATAAGGTGAAAAAAAATTCAAAGAGGCGTTACATTATGTTCGAATTTAGGGGTTAGGTTTCTGCATTTATAGAATTTTGAAAAAGCTTGCAGTTTCGGAAATATATGGTGTCTAAAATTCAAATTTTGAAAGGCGATTTCTTGAAAGAGGGTAGAGGTGGAAAAAAATTTTCTTCCAACGAAGTGAAGCATTTTTTAATTTAATAATGCTAAAATTTCAGACTTCTAAAACCTGCATTATAGAAGGAAAACGATTGTTTTTTTAAAGTTCAAATGTGGTAGTAACAGAAGCCAACCACTATTTTTCTACGCTTGCAAAATTTGGTAAAAATAATTCGTTAAAAAATGACATTAGGATGTTGGAGGGATATATAACTTTTAGAGGGGGAAGATAGGTTAAAAAATTTCTTCTACAAGTTCTTCTACAAGAAATAAGTTTTTAGTAAAGATGTACATATAAAATTTCAACTTTCCATCTTCAAGGATGTAGAAGTTTTGTGAACATGTTCACGGACTGAAACTAATAAACATTTTTTTTTTCAAAAATTTTTCGAAAAAATGCTAAGAAGTAAGAAAGAACAAACAAAGTACCAATTTTGAAATGTAACAATTTTTTAGTAAGAATTCGTATCGCCCTAGAAATAAATTTATAACTCGAATTACTTACTTTATTTTTATCCTACGGGATAAGTTATAATTGCAACTCTACTTTAGTAGAGGTTTTGGATTAAAATTTGCACCTATAAGTGTCAGATGCCAACATTAAATAGTAAATTAATAAAGCATTGTCCCTTTTCAAAGCCATTAGTGCGAGATGAAATTGTTTTTATTTGTAAACCAGAAAATTAGATAATTATTTTGTAAAACTATAAAAATAAAAATTTTTTGGGTTTAAAAAAAAAAAAGAAAAAAAACCTAAGTTCATAATACTGATACTGAATTGTTCATCATATTTTTTCTACAAAATACGCTTAGGAAACTTGTACAGACTCAAAAACTCAATGTATTTTTTGAAATTATTTGAATGTTGCTCTTTAATTTTAGATATTCCAAATTTTTCAAATATTTAGATATTCTTCATATTTCTGTTTCGATAGGCTTAATCAAGTATTCAAGTAGAAAGTAGTACAAACAGTTTAAACTTTTATTATCATTTATATAAAATAATGTGAAAAAAAGGGTTTGATTTGCATTTCCACCAAACACAAATATAATTAATTGCGGTTCAGAAATGGATTACTGAAAATCGATATTTGAACATATTATTAACTAAAAAATGTTTAAATATCGTAACATTCCGACAAAGTAAAACCAAAACTAAATTTAGTTTTTGGTTTTAGAAATAATTAATTTTAGGTTGCAGAAAGATTTCTCAAAGAAATTCGTTTACAATATTATAATTAAAATAAATTAAACAATAAAAATAAAAGTGAAAATAAATTCTATTTATATAATAAACAATTATATTGTTTTTTATGAAAATGACCCGGAATCCCTAATTAAAAAATTCGAATGTACTTAAAGCTGTAGCAACATAAGGTCGTTCGCTGCAATTACTATTACCATAAATATTGTTAATTAAATATTTTAATACTTTATATTCAAAATATAAGTTATACAATTTTGATTTCAATACATTAGTAACATAAAAACATAATATGTATGTATATATGCATTTGCATATACATAAATACATAATTATGTACATTTCATCACGTAGTGACATTAACAAAAGTTAATGTCATAAAATTAATTCCAAAAGAATAAATAATATACACTTTCACTTCGTTATTATTATCATAAAGATTGTTTTGAAGTACTTACATATATTGAGACCTTGAACACTTTTAAAATCATTAATAATTAAGTTTAATATCTATGTAGAAATAATATGTATATATATGTATATTTTTTCAAAGTCTTTATTTTTTGAGTACCGGCTTAAAATTATCTTATTTTTGAAAGGATAATTACATCCTTTAAAGTAAGTTTTTTTATTTTACTTTTGCTTATATTCCTAGTTGTGCAACTACAAAAAAAAATTTACATAAAATACACATAAACATTTATGTAAGTACACTTACATATACATGTAAAAAAGAAAAAATCAATAAAATTTGTTACACGTGGACGTCTCGATTAAAAAATGTTTTACATGTATGTGTGCACATAAAATATGTATGAAAGAAAAAGGAAACTTATAAAACATTAAAATATGAAAATGACGCTGAAAATTAAAGTGCATAATTAAAAGAGGAAAAGAAATAAATGCAAATATGTAATTTCATTTATATGCAGATATAAGTATATATGCAAAGGGGAGAGCTCATATGATTGTAGACACAGACAGTACTCAAAGTAAGTGAAAAAAAAATAAAAAAAAAAATTTGATAAAAATAAAAAATAAATATAAAAAAAAATGTATTAAAAAAATTAAAAATCTTGCTACCCTTCACTGATTTTTTTTGTTTTTGTTTCCTTTGGTTTTGGTTTTCATTTCAGTATTGCATATTTAAAACCCATGTATTTTTACATATGTATAAACAAGTGGAAATACAATAAATGTATTCATATAAATAAAATACATAGAGTAGAAATATGCGCACAGAGTTTAAAAAATTTTTTATAGAAATCAAAATCAAATCCGAGTTCAAGTTTCAACTTTATGTTCAGTAAGTTAAAATTCACTGTACAAGTTTAGGGTAATAAAAAAAAATTTTAATAAAATCAATAATAAAATAAACAATATTCAGTATGATAATACACACATCAATTATCTTGATATTTGAAAGAAATAGCAAAGTTTAAGTTTTTCTGATAAAATTGCATTAAATTATAGTTACAAACTGGGCACATGGAACATATACGAAATTTTACATAGGTTCAAAAATTTTGTTGTATTATTAAAAAAAAACATTCAAGAATTTAAAATTCAATTTTTAATTAAATTTGTGCGAAAAAAGAACTTAATTCTAATGTTGGCAGAAAGAACCGATTTTTAATGGTGAGGTTCGTTTACAAAACTATAGAACCACAACATCTCCTGCAATCTCGGTAATTTCTAAGAATTTCATTTGCTCATATCCCTTTTGTACTTAGTAGCTACAATACAACAAAATGAAGTAAATCTTCGGTTCGAATTTTATGTTATTCAAAAAAATCAAGAAAATCAACGTTTATTAGGATATTGCGTTGTATTTGCTTACTTAAATTTTATTGCAAAATTTAAAAATTTAATTGCAAATAATTAATAGTATGGGTTTAATTTAGATCCTATAAGTTTGTTTTAATTTTTAAAAATAAAAAATGTGGCTCAAAATCAATTTGTAAGATTTCAGTTTATAATTTTATTTTTCGAATAAAAAATTGAGTCTATGATAAAATTCCGAATTACAAAAATACAATTTGCAAATTAGACTTCAAAAAAGACATTCTGAATGTAAATTTAATATATTTAAACTTTCATATTTTAACCCTATGTTTACATATTATATGAAAGTAAGTACAACAATAGTAATGGAAACATAATTTAAATACCACCTAAGAATTTTTTTTTCGTTTTTTCCAAGTTATTGTATTACTTGAATGCATGACGATTGCAGAAAATAATATTTTTTCTATAGATATAACTGTATATATAGAATGTGTCTTATGAACCACATGAGTACTTGAGACTTGACTAGTTGTATATAAAATGCAAAATAAAAATACAGACTGTTGTAATAAAAAAAAAAGTTGGTTTTAGTTATAAGGTAAACATAATTTTTATTTTGAATCATAAACGTATCATAGAGACTATTATATTATTATGTATACGTATGTACATATGTATATGTAAGTGCACATTAACTTATTTCTTTGTCGAAAAAATGTTGGACTTTTTAAAGACAATATCAAAATGTTTACAGAATTTATGTAAAAACACAATTTATTATAAAATTGTTATTTTATTCTTCATATTTCAAAAATATTTTAAATTATTAAGTAATAGATAAAAATTGTTAATTATAACATAAAAATTCACTTACCTTTGGTAATTCTCGTTTCCTTTTAATAAATAGCCCATCATTTTCAATATAATCAGGAACTTCTTTTCTATCCTTAAAATTGAATACCATAATATTGTTTTGCGTCTCAATTGGACCGGTACTGTTATTTGAATTTTTCTTTTTCTGTATTAATTGTTGTTGCCAATTATTTAATTCGTTATTATTACTATTATTATTATTTATATTTGCAGTACTTGTTGCTGTTATTGTTCCTGTTGCTGTTATTATATTAGAATTCCCACTATTTTCTAAATTTGCTAATTCATTTTTCTTTTCATTTATTAAATTTTTTTCGATTTCACGCGATGTTAATGCCGGCTTAATATTATTATCTGAAGAATTCGATTCTAAAATACTTATATTCTTATTATTAATATTATTTGATACTGATGAAGATGCTAATTTAGTTTGATTTTGATTTATATTTGTTATGACTAAATTATTATCAATGTTACCACCACTAGTAATACTATGATCTTGATCTATACCAATTGAACTACGTTTTTTTGGTTGTGGTGGTAAATTTTCTTGTATTATGGGTAGAATTTTAGCAGATTTATCCGTAACATTATCATTAATTGATGTTAATTTTAACTTATCCGTTTGGCTATTATTTACTGATGACATTATATCTGATGTAATATTTGACGATATGTTTGTTATAATTTTTGGTTCAGCTACTAATGGTCTTATTATACCAACTTGTTTGGGTGCTGGAGTTGGTGTTATATGCTCAGCAGATGTTGTTGGATTAATGCCAATAAGTGGTGTTGTTTTAACATTTTTGAAACTAAAACACTGAGAACTACCAGCTTTAGAAATATTTTCAAGAGCAGTTTTTGATATTTTTTTAACAATCATATCATTATCACCATCAACTGAGTCATCATCATCATCAGCGTCATCTTCATCTACAGCTGTAACATCATAACTATAAATCTCATCATCATAATCTGTACTTTCAGATCCAGATGATTTATTATTTGGATGATAAACTTTAATTGGCGTTGTAGTGGCGTCTCCTTGAGAAGAAACAACAGATGAATTTGAATTTAACAATGTTGGTGAAGGAGTTTCAATTTTTAAACGATCCATTCGTTTTGTTATTTGTGTAATTGGGGAATCGGTTGTTGAATTGTCAACAACATTATTGTTCGTTGATTGCAAATTCTCGGTGTCAATAACTGGGGAGATTCCTAAGTTATTATCAAATAATTTTCTTGGAATTATATCTGGAGCACGAATTTGTTGCGTCGTCCTTATAGGTGTACTTTCATTTCGATTTCTTAAATATGCAGCATGATTTAATGTTGTTGGTGATGCAATACTATTCAATGGTACAGGCGATTTATTAATGATTTCATTTACTGCTGAGTCTTCTGAATTTTGATTATTAAAACGTTTTGTTAAATTTGAAACTGGACTACTAACTTTTGGCGAGTTTTTGTTGAATTTTTTATTGTTATTATTTGTATTTAAAGCACTACCATTTTGAATATTTAGTGTATTTGGTTTCGATTTAACACCATTCGTAACTGCAGTATTATTTAAAGTACCTAAGCGTTTTGGACTTAATGGCGGTTTTGGATATGATATAGGTGGCTTTTGATCTTGTGATATAATCGATTTATAATTTGCTACTTTCATAGCAACATGGCCACTTTGATGATTTTTAGAAATACCTCTACCGCCGCGACGATTAGCAGACGCCTCAAAAATTTTCAGCGTTTGCTTAACGACATCTGGTGGAGGACGTTCTGTATCATCAATTACAGAGGTCAATCTTTTAGGTGGATGCTTTTCATGTTTTCTCTGTTCTCGTGCATTTAAAATTTTGTCTTCAATTGTAACCTGAAATCAAAAGAAAATACACAAATCATTTAATTTATGTTTGATATGAAAATTTTTTTGTTATCTAAAATATTTAATATTCTAAATAATATCAAAACAAAACTGTTTTATTTTTCAAGTTGATTTTCATATGTGTACGAGTTACAGTTTTACAGTGACGCATATATGTATTTATTAGTGTATTTGTATAAAAATAACCATATATGTATGTATTGATTCATTGTCGGACATTGGACACTGATTTTAATTCAAATATTTGCTTAAATAGTGAATCACTATTCGACAATTTCTTTATCGCTAAAAAATTAATGAAGAAATTCAATTTTTGTTTTTAATAATTGCCCAACATTTTATATAGTGAAAAGTGACTAATCAATAGTATTCCTTGTATACAATATTTTTAAGTTCAAAGTAAAAAGAAATGCATGAAAATTAAGCACTAACACATTCTATATATTTCTGTGCATGCACAATTCTATATGTTTCCCACTTCATTTATGTATAAATTTATATATTCATTCTACACAAAAAAGAATATCTTAGAGGGGGCCATAAATTTTAGAAAATTTTGATTTGAACTTTTTAAGAATTTTTTTTCCAACTTTTTTTTACTGCGCAATTATTTGAGAACTAAAGGGTTCTTAATAGCGTATCCCGTATATAAAAAGAATTTTTTGAATTGGAAAAACTAAAATATTCTTTAAATTTTGTGTTATTATATGAGATTTTTGAATTAAAAAATCTTTGAATTAGATGAAGAATATTTAAGAGGAAACTGAAAGTTATTAAATACAGTAATGCTATTAAATACAGTAATATATGAACAATTTCTTCTTCAAATAAGGATATGTATAAAGTAGATTCTTATTAGATTGCTTAGGTGTTTCTAGATCTAGGAAACATATATTAGATTGCTAATCTAATTGAATCTTTACGCCAATTATTCGTATTAGAATTTATTCTTTTATTTTCAACTCTTCAAGTGAATTGTTACCTACCTCTGTTAAAATAGGTGATCCATTACTATTTGATGGAATATTACAGTTAACACTACTTGCATTATTGCTATTATTATTATAATATAATGCTGCATAAGCTGAATTCGACATTATTATATTATCTTTTTTATTACAAATTTTATTATCCTTTAATTCATCAATATCATTTAAAACAGTATTGTCAGTATCGGCATTTATATCAATATTACCAGACCAAATATCTGGTTTTTCACATAACAATGCTTCAACTGACCTTGCTCTTTTAATAGAATCATTTCCTCTCTTAACTTGACGGCCACTACGTATTATCCCTGCAGCAACAGCAGCAGCTGTATTTCTTATGTATTGATTCGGTTGTTGATTATTATAATTTTGTTGTTGTTGATAGTGTTGGTACTGATCAAAATTTGTATTACAACCTGTTTTATTTAAAAGATTTTTTTCTGCAATAATTGCTGAAACTGAATTTTTTCCTATAGCAGTAGAAATGGCACCATCAGCAGATGTTTGTTGTATATTTTTACTTATAAAAGAATTTTTTTGTTGTTGTTGCTGTTGTTCATCTTGTTGATATTCCGGTTTTTCAACATTATCATTTATCGTTAATAATAAAGAGCCAGCATTAATATCAGCAGTTATTGTGGTATTTCTTGATGATGATGGTGATAATGATGAAGAACAAGAATTTTCTGTTAAAGTTTTTACTACATCTTGCTCTTTAATTTCTTTTAAATTATTAGACAAACCATTCTGTTGTTGACTTAATATTTTTTGGTTGCGATTTTTATTATTTATATAATGATTGTGATTTGAATTTATAATCAAATGTTCATAATCATTATCATCCTCGTCGATTACATTATTATCATTATTATGATTATTTTTTGATTTATTTGTTGTACCACAAGCACCATTTACTTTATTAACAACATTTGTACCGCTACCACCATCTAATAGATTATTCAAGCTTGTTGCCCGCCGAAGATTGTCCAAAGGCAGACGCTGTTTTCCTGTAGATTGTCTTAAAGCTAGGCTTAAATAACGACAGCGAAGTTTTGAAACAATTCCAGGACCATATTCTAATTCTTCGGAAGGATCAAAATCATTGAATTCATCATCTTTACTTTTTGTATTTTTAACATTATCAATCATTTTCGTTCGTTTTAAATTATTATTGCTGTTATTTATTACGGCAGTGGTTTTTGCATTATTTATTGTGGTAGTAACGGAAGAGTCCGCAACATTATTTGATGATTCACCATTTGCTCCTGCTGATTTTGATGAAGAATTTGACTTTAATTGAATTTCTGGTACAGCAACCATTTTATTATTAGAACTAACCAAATTTTGTATATTTTTATTTTGCTGTTGTTTATAATTAGACAACAACGATGAAGACGACGATGACGACGGCGATGATATTAATGATGATGATGATGATGGCAATGAACTTGTTGTATTTGTTACTATGGTTGTTGTTAATAATTTTGTTGTTGCAGCCGTCGTTGTAACAAAACAACTATTCAATAATAAATTTTTCTTTGGTGAAGACGATGGTGATGTCGATGGTGATATGGATTTTTTTTTAAATATATTATTACTATCTATGTTACTATTATTAATGGAAGTTGTTGTATTATGATTTTTTGCAGCTGCAGCTGCAATATATTTATTGATTGTAGCTGTTGAATTCTTATTTACAGTTGGATTTTTAATGTATCCTTGATGATGATACGATTGTTGTAGTGGCTTAATAGAATTCGAAGAAATGGCAGCAGCAGACAACTGTAATGATTGTGGTAATGATTTTTTCACGTTAAAATTTAATAATGAAACATTTCCGTATGTTTTATTATTGTCACTAAGAAAATCATTGCCAATTTTATCATCACTATTATTCATTAAATCATTTAATGACTTATTATTGATAAAATTTTCTAAATTTCCTGTATTTATAATTTCGTCAAAATTACCGCTATTACTACCGTCACCGTCGATAATTGTTAATCCGGAATCATTAATCGATTCGATTTTATCTTTCTTTGTTTTAGAATCACTACAATTGCTATTGCTGGCAATTGAAGTTTTCAATAATTTATTTTTATTTAACGCGTAATCGTCAACCTCGCACGGAGTTATACCGAACTTATTACTTTCGTATCTGGAATGTAACTGATTCGCATTCGCGTTCGTTAGCAGTAAAATTTTTTGTTCTGTTTCATTTTCATTTTCATCTTCTATTTCTTTTGAGGGAATATTTCGTTCATTTTGTTGCTTTTGCTCCAGTAATGTAAAATGTTGCTGCAAATCTACTTCCATTGAGTTTTCATTATTTATATTTAACATATTGTCGCTTTTGTTTTGAAGCGATGTTGCCATATAATTTTTTAATTGTTGTTGCTCTATTTTATGTTGCTGATTAAGACTAGTACGTCGCATTGGAATTGGTGGAGCAATTGTGGTTGTATCATTACTAACACTTTCAACATTTATTTCACATGCTTTTGTTTCATCAATATCATTTTTATTTTCTTCTAGTGTTTGTATTCCAATACGATTTGATATTTTTCCAGATTTAAATGGTTGTTGTTGCAGTGATGCCATTGTTGTTGATGATGTTGAGTCAGTTGTTGTTGTAATTGTAGTTGCTGCCATATTATGATTTAATATTTCACTTTTTATAATAGTATTTGAACTATCAATCATTTTATTGCTACTATTAGTATATTGACCTTTACTGGTTATTTCTCCAACAATTGTTTTCACAACAGATGTTGATGATTTTGTTGTTGACGGTAACAGTGTTGATAATGATGATGGTAATGATGATGACGACGGTGTTATTGATAAATTTAAAATTAAATTTTCTTTGTATTTGTTAGCTACTGACTTCACATTATTAAATTTTACCGGCATTTGATTTCTAGTACAACTACTAACGTTATTGTCTGGTGTTGAATCATCTTTACTTAATAATTGTTCATTTGTTGCTGATGTTGATGTCGCTAATGATGATTTATTTGATTGTTTTGTATCTTCTTTGATGATATTAAATTCTTGTTGACTAGTATTTATATTATTATTACTATTATCATTAATACCTTCTGATAATGCAATTGTAGAGCTTTGGTTTGTTTTCATTGAAGATTTTCTACTTGTATTATCAAAAGCAACATCTTTGGTTGATGATGTAATACAAGAAATTTTATTGGACGAAATCGATTGGTTGGAATTCAAATTAACAGAAGAAGACTTAGACAATAATGTTACAGGTGATTTTACAGTAAACGAATTTATCGATTTTGACGTTGACGTTACAGGTGACAACTTTTTAAATAAAAATGACGGACTCTGTTCGTTTGCTATAAAAAAAACAATTGTTAATGTGAATTCTACAATTATATTATTAAATTATAAGAAACAATTATACAAATACAAATATACAAACATAGTAAATTTTAATTATTAGCTATCATATAGCACAATGTTATAATTAAAACCATAATCTATTTTTATAAAGTTAAACCATAATACATATATATTTTAATAATTTTTTAAATTTAATAATTCATTATGTACGTACATAATACATATCATTTATTTCAGTAATCTCAAATTATAATGAAAACTGCAAACTAAATCTGCAATCTATCAAAATTTAAAGATACCTATTACAAAGAGGAAATCACTTAGTTTACCTAAGATTGACTTTAATATTGAGCCAAATAATACCCTATAAGTTACACGATTGATTATTCTGATAAGCATAAGTTACTAAATGCTTAAATGAAAATTAGGACCTTCTGTTCAATCATTTTTGTAGTTGATTTGCTGAGTAAAGTATTTACTAAACAGAATCGGTTTCTATGTGTTTTGCCAAGCGTATGTACTCGCATTTTAAACAGTTATAAAATCAAAAATCATTCTTTTCCTGAATTTCATATATTATTATATAGCTTTATACAAAAAATTTAGTTAGATATTTCTATAAATTTAATATAAATTTTCTCAATTTTATTATTTTTAAATTTTCCAAAAATGTTAAAGCAATAACTGCGAATCAAACCAATGATTCGCAAAGAAGGACATTCCTCTAAAACAATTTAAGGTGCTTAAGAACATTTTTAATAAAAAAAGTGCTTCTATTTGCATTATCTCAATGTAATTTTGTTGTATAATTTTTTAAAGCATATGACTACGCTTTATATAAATTAGTGATTTAAAGTTATGGCTCGTTCTTTGCAAGCAAAACATTTACCGTTATTTTTACTTTTATAAATATTTTGATTCAAAGAATGTTTTTCTATATATAGACAATATAGATTTTTTTTAAACAGCAAAAGGACAGATAAAGTGAAACTAAAGTAGGCACAGTATTGAAAAAGTACAAATAAAATATGAATGTGTATCGTATTGTAGTTTTCAAATAATGCAGAATTTTAAATTAAAAATTACTATATTAATAGCGGTAAAAGCTCATTTTTCATTAATAAATTTTAAAAAGCATTTAATTTTTTCGAAAATAATGCTAAATTAATAATAAATTTCTCTACAGCATTAATTTTGAATAGAACTAAATTTTTGTCTCATTCCTTAAAATATTTTTACAAATAAATTTGACCTACATTTGTATAAATGTGATTATTGATTTTTCTAGCACATGTGAACCCAAGAAATTTTAGTTTATTTTTTGCTTTATCAAATACCATTCTACAATAATATACAAAATATATTTTCATAACAGTTATAGATATTTCTATAACTGTAAATATTGACCATTTCTATAGATTAATCTATCACTAGTTTGTAATAAAAGCAAGAAAGACAATAAAAGTACAAATAAAAAAAAAAACAAAATTTGTTCCGCACCTTTAATAGGAAATACACCTTCAAAAAACATATGAAGATGATAACAATAATGGTATATATGAACAATCACCAGTGGAACAAGGATTTCCCACCTTAAATAAAGGATAGGCTATTTTTTATTTTGTATAAAAGAAACAAAAATTAATTGTAAGGCTATCGTAATATTTTGTAACCTACATAATTATTATGAACAATCAACCTAAATGTTATAAAAAAAAATTCAATGTATAAATTACGTTTGATTTTATTAAAGAAAAAAATAAGAAAAAACAAAGTACTTTAATGTAATATAAGGGTTAAATCATAAATTTTAACTAGTTACTCCTCTTCACGCATACTATTGTGTGTGAACTGGATAAATAAATAAAATTGTTATAAAAAATAAAATTCTTACACTTTAGTATACGCTTATACTTTTCATAATTCAGCTTTAATATTATAAAAATTTTGCAAACTTATATCATAGCTTACAACTAGCTACTTTTTAAAATTCATAAAATGAATTAAATCACTACTTTAGAAAATGTTTGACCTATAGCCGATCAATGCATCCAACAGTTATTTATACAGGTTCTGTTTTCTTCATTTTTGTCAACTATTAGCTCAATTACTACCTTATAGTTCACAAATATACAAATACATATTCCATTCACCTTTCTTATTAGACAGGATAGGCGAAAAACAAATTAAAATTTACATTTTATCTATACTTGGAAACGAAAACTTAACGGTTATGACATCTCGTGCAATATGATAGTAATTTATGAAACGTATGTAATTTTTCAACTTTGGCTATTTCAGTTAATTTCATCATATTTGCCGCTACATTAATACTGTTATAATTCTTTCTTGTATATTACATAAAATTATATTTACTGATACGCCCATTGTTCAATAATGATTTTGTACACAAGTAATCAATAAAATTTATTTTAAGGTTCCGTTTTTTTTATTTTTTTTTTTCTAAACTGCTTTTTAATTTATCAATTACAAAATAACGAAAAATATTTTATCTACATACCTGTTATGACTAATTAACAAAATATATTTACTGATAATAATACAAAAACAAAAAATTAAAGGAAAATCCAAAAAAATCAATTTAGAAAATTCGTAAAATATGCAATTCAATTGTTCAGTGTAAGAAGTGTAAGTAATATCGCAGCGTTGATAAGGATGTAGATCACATTCTCTCGGGGTGCCCATTCTTGATGGGGAGAAGGAGACGCATGCAAGTAGTTTGTCTTTGGTGGGCCGCAGGAATTATTGGGTGTTTCCTTGGCAAAGTGACTGATGTATGGAGGACGTGGACTGGCTTCGTTTATGCAGCTTATTTTGTTGGGTTTCGGTGGGGCGATTTCTTGCCCATTTTTCCAATGGAATAGAGAGATCGTTTTCGGGGATTGCCGTTGTGGCTCATTTTTGGCTTAGTGCCTGATGTCGCACGAAAAGGCCATGCGACTTCTTTTCGGTGACTAAATACAAACGATTAACTATGTCACACATTGAAATTAGTGAACTTTACATATACATTAAACTAAAGTTTAAAAACGGAACTTATAAGGTGTTGATACGGCTTTTTTTCCTTGAAAATGCTCGCAGTTAATTTTTGTTTCTCACTTGATATCACATTATCATTAATAAAAACTGGAACCACGACCAAAGTCTAAGTCACAAAGAAAGTAATGGCAAACTTCCTATAGTTGACGTAAATTTAATAAATGTTTTAGACATAGGATTTCTAGGAACACTGACATTTAAAGAATCTGCTTTTTGTTAGATCTTTTTTTTTCAATTGATTAGGGAACCAAAAGATTTTATTTAAAAATCTAGTCATAATATAAATACGTATACTGTGTTTTTTGTACATACGGTTTCAGATAAGTTTGTAACATAATGAACACAACAAAATATACATCATGTAAATTTTTAGAATATTGAGAGTATTTTCATACTAATAGAAAATAACAGTTAATTATCTATATAATATCGATTTTTTAATTGTATATGTGAACACTTATAAAAACTAATAGGTATTAGAAAAATAAAGAAGAAAAAACAGTTATAATACACATATCGGTGTTTAGAAATTTTACTTTTAACGTAGTTCATTAAAACAAATGGAAAAGTACAGGAATGATAAAAATAAATAAAGTTTGATTAAAACAATCGTTTGTGAATTAGCACTTTTTCCTTCAACCCGTAAATGATTGCATAGATTAAAATGAGACAGAAAAAATTGAAGACTCGTTAAAATAATAATGAATTCAACGGTTAATTGCGTCTGTTAAAATAAATAATTATATTTTTTAACGGAATGGTATTTATTGTCAGCTTTCTGCATTTATATAAAAAAAAATGGAAATGGTTGCAGTTTCGGAATAATAAACTACTGAAACCTCAAATTTTACAACATTCGAGAAGTGATAACATGGGAAGGAATCGAAATCGAAATTTTTTTTTTAAAAAAGCGAAAAAAACAGTTTTTCGGTATATAAAAGTTGATTTTAACGTCCATTTTGTTTTTAATAGTTTCAATTTATGACATGACACGGTAGGAGAAAACCAAGCAGTACTTTTATTCGTTTGCAGAATTTTTAAAACGTATATAGTTTTGTTACAGCAAATGTTTGAAAAATGTCATTTTTAGGATTTTGAGAGACTATTTTCGTAGAAGGTAAGATAGACAAAAACTTTCTTCTACGGAAATAAATTTCTTACAAAAATCTAACGTATACATATATACATAATTTTGACTTTCAATCTTAAGGGGCGTAGAAGTTTTGAAAGCAAACGGACTGAGTAAAGTTAATAGGCACTTTTTAGTATGAAATAAACAGTATCTATTTTTAAAAATTAAAACACTTGAATTATGTTTTTATATGAATGAGTTTTTGAAATTGCTCTCGTTGTAATAATATTATTAATATCTAATATTCATTGCATACAACTAGGATGAAAACAAACTTTATAACAAATGAATAGAAATACACACGAATGTATATATAAAGTACATTTATTTGGTTGAAGTACATAGGTTACAATTACTGATAGGAACAAATTTACCGTTACTTACTTGTATTTTTTTTCAAATTTCATAAACCATATAATTAAAAAAATATAAGTTGCTAATAATTAAAACTTTGCTAAAGTTCTAATAGTCTAAAATTTTAATAGTCTAAAGAACTAGAAGAAATAAATCGAATGCCTGACGGACAACATTAAACCCAATAAGCTAAGTTTTTATGGAAATTTTCTAAAACCTAATTTATTTTATAAAATTTTGTTACATAAAATATACAACAATATTGAATGAAAATAATCGAGTAAATCAGGAATATAAAAAGAATAACTTCTTCAATTTCTTTAATTTATGTGTCATTAATTATCAATATCAAAAAAATTCAATAATTAACCACCAAGAATGTTGTGGTTGATTATTAAAAATTATCGTCCAAGGCAAAACAAAAAATAAGGACCTGATTTTGAAATA